AAAATATTTATATTATATTATATATTATATTATATTATATTAATCAATATTTGCAATGAAATAAATATAAAGGAAAGCAAGAAATACTGTGAACAAAAATTTGTCGAGTGCACATACAGTTAATATTATTAAAAAATAATATGGTCAATCTTGTTCTATGTTAAGCTTTTTTCCTTCGTATATGTTAAAGAGATCAGTAACAATGGAGATTGAAAATAATCTCCATATCATTGAATATAGAATTCTGTTTCAAAAGTTAAGTCAAAAATGGAGATTGAAAATAATTTCCATATCATTATATATAAAATCTAGAATCTCAAAATATATAGAATATAGAATTGTTTCAGAAGTTAAGTCAGCATGCATTCTTTATAGCACACGATGACTCGAATTTTGATACTTTAACTTCTTATATCTTACATTCCTCTATAAATAATTCTCAATTTGGGAAACGGTATCTCAACCCTAGAGTGGTGAAATTCACTCTTGACACTAGCAATGATACACGTCAGATTGATTCCGAATCACTGTAATAGTAGTGACTTCACGTCACACTGACTCCGTATCAAATTTGACTCAAAGTCAAATAACAAATAATAACGTTTTCATACAAGTAGAATATACCTCCATCTAAAGATACGTCAAACTGACGTCATGTCACCACTATTGTGATGGGCAGTCAATTCGACGTCGAGTCATCGTTATTGATAGGGAGTCAATCTGACGTCACGTTACCACTAGTAGCTATGAAAATAGTGGTCACCACTCGAAGGTTAAACCTAAGTCACTAGGAAAGTCTATTGTAGTCTGTTGTTCAATCCTACAAAGCTTCGTCCAAATCAAATCTTCCTTGCAAAAGAGTGAATTTATAGTCTTGTAATTTTGATTACCACATCCAATTTGAATAATTTCAACTTCTCCGAACGATTCTTATTCAGTCTTGCTCATCAGCGTATTTCGTTAATTCTATGAACTTCATAAAATCATTTTAGTGAATTGCACATACTGTAAAAGTAGCATTAAATAGTACTAAAAGTAGTACTAGTAGCCCTTGCACTACTGTTTAGTTATGAAAATTTATACACCGAAGTGGTATTCGATTTTACTTAACCTACCACATGTCTATACCACCCGCGATAAAATAATACAAAAATTTGACAAATTCTTCGAATTTTGTGCACCTCGAAACGTGGCATAATTACGACCATGTGATAAAAATGGCTTATAACCGTGAGATTTGACGCCATATAGATCGTGACAAGTTAGGCTCGTCATAGTATTGCAAAGGGTTAAAGAATATGGTAATATAAAATAGATGTAGTAAAGTTACTAACGACACGATTAGCACGAAGAAAGTCAATGGTGTATAAATAAACAAATAAATATCCGAATACTCATTGTGATGACTTAGTCAGTATTCGTGCTTTCTGTTACAGATTAGATCCTAAGAGAAAATTCTCAGCCGTACCATGTTTTGCAGCCAGAACCGGATCCAGAACCTAGAAAAATGAGCAAACGTTAGAAACGAAGTGACGAGTTGCACATCTACGTGTTGTATCTTTTCAGGTAATAGCTTGGGAACAATACGCGATGCTTTCAGGCTTGCATTAATAATTTATGACATTCCTATTCGTATATCCTAAATTACACACTTGAAAATAACCCAAGCGTTGGTATTGCAATTGTAATAAGCGATTGCTTAATAAGTTCCTAAGTTATATTTATAAATATGCTGCCATCTACGTCAGTCCATCTATGCTTATCGAATTACGAGTGATGAGAGCTTACGGTGATAATAACTAGTAATTTTTGGGCAATGTTACTAGGATAACTACCTCCAGGATAACCACCTCCGGGAGAACCACCGCCAGGGTAGCCACCTCCAGGAGAACCACCGCCAGGATAGCCACCACCAGGATAGCCACCGCCACCGCCTCCAGGATAACCACCTCCAGGAGAACCACCGCCTGGGTAGCCACCGCCTGGATAGCCACCACCTCCAGGATAGCCACCTCCAGGGGAACCACCGCCAGGATAGCCACCACCAGGATAGCCACCACCACCGCCTCCAGGATAACCACCTCCACCGCCTCCACAATTGCGTCCACCACAATTACACGTCATGCATATCGTCCTCTTCTGTCGGATGTTCTTCACTTTACTGAACTCCATATTTGGTGACATTATGGATTTTTTGTTCTCCTTATTGAGCTTCAGTCGCAGGGCTTTGGTTTTACCGTCATAGTTCATCTTCTCCACGGTCAAACCTTCGTTGTTCCTTAGACTATCCGCAACCTCGTCAAGATCTACCGGTGTGTTGATATCTTCACCAGCACTGTCCAATTCGACCAGCAGAAGCACCGTCGCTACTGGGTCTAGTGACATTGGATTTACGTTAGTTGAACATGGTTTGGATTCGAATTTACAAAACTATACATTTCTAGAGAGAAGATAAATATATTATCTATAAATAATTACGTATAATCACGTTTCTATCCCAAACAGAAATCACCGCAAATTTCTTCAAAAGTAACTAAATGTAACTAGAAATTACGAAAATGAAATTTGTAAAATGAGTCATTTCGACCTCCTTGGTACCTTTAAATGATTTTTAAAGTAAATAAATGATTCGAGGTCTTTTAAAAACAAATTTGTCACGTGACACTAAATTTTAGTATACTTTTGGTAAAGTTACTATAGTTTTACTAAAGTTTTGATTTAATTAAGCAAATTTTTATATTCCTTTTTGCTCCCCCTCTTCGTGCTATGTCCGAAACGTGTTTCGTTTTTTATTACCTGCTATTTCTGGAATATTCTCGATGACCTCGTTTCCAAGAATCTCTTCGGAAGTTTCACCAGAAACATTTTTCACGTCGTACAGATTTATCACGAAAAGTACATATTGCAATTCTTCCGCCGGTGGAGGAGGCTTCAGCTCCGTCGATAAAGTAACTTCCGCTACATCAGGAACTGTTACGTCTGTCGATTCTTCTCAAAATTTGTAAGAAAACCGATTATATTTACTATTTCACTCTCATAACACACGCGAATAAAACGATACAGTGAAACATTTAGAATAAAATTCGAACTAAAAAACCAATCTAAACGTACAATATAATAACGGAAAATTTATTCGCAAATTTTTGTTGTATTTTTCTTGTATCTTTTATTAACGAAAGTGTTAACGGTAAGACGCGAAGAAAAGAGAAAAAAGCAAGTGTTGGATTTAGCAAAAATATTTGCACCTGCGCTATTTCTTACCTGACGTTGGTGCAGCAGAGAGGGCTGTCACAGATAATAGCAAGAGTAAAGTCCAAAAGCTTGTAGCTACTTCGCGAGCCATTGTAAAGCTCGAAACTCGCGGGTTATACTGTGCATTGGATCTTTCATCTTACTGCTTTTATAGGCATCGATTTTTATACACGCACTACTTTGAAGCAATTATGTAACATTACGAGTAACGAGCAGCGCCACCTCCCCGTCCATTTCCCATCGCCGCGTCTGCCTACTACCATTACTGCCTCATATTTTTGGTTTTTCCGCTGGAATTCCAGTTACACGCGTCCATGCACACTGTAATGTTGTTTCGGATGAACTCCGTCGGGTGACAATGTCACATAAACTTCGTCGATAACGTTACACGTTCCCGATGCTGCAAATGAATTACAGATGAAATTAAAAAATTAACTATCAGTTCCTCGAATATGTTGGATATTTTTAAAAGTTAAAAATCATGTAAACTGTGTCTGACCTTAGTGAATGTGATACGGTTGATAAAAGGCTATATAACCGCTTTATCTCGATACAGTCGAAATACAGAACGTAGAAAACTAACCTCACTCGGTGATGAGAAAATGTTTAATAATGGACAGAATCGTGTTGGTCGTGTAGATTAATACATCTCCATTTGTCAAATGACATGTTTTTACAGGGTGAACTACAGTTCCTTTTACTTTTTTATGGTACAAATACTCAACAATTGCGATACTGCATATTATCATCCTACAATAAAATATACATTTTACGTATGAAAAAATAACCTTAAATTTAAAGAAAATATATATTTTTTGTTGTTATTTCTTTTTGTGTCAGATATTTTTGAGTGTTCTTTTATTTGAGGAATTCGTTAAATAAGAATAGTCGGAAACTGGTATTCACGTGTATGCAACAGCTTTGAAATCAGTGTATGTAATCTTCTCTAAGGAAAAATACAAAATTACGGTATCGGGTTTCATTATACATACGTAGCTATATGCATACGCAGCTATATATGTATTGTACTTGTAACGGCTGTTAAAGGATTTTTCTTCTGAACTATCGACTTATTATATTTTATTTTGCTCTTCGAGGTTGAACTGGGTATTTTTATCTTGTGAGATGTCAGTAGTAGATTTTGAAGATGAAATATTTAAACAACGATTATTTTCGACTACTGCATTGATTTTTGATATTACGATTGCATACAGCTTTATCTTCGTACGTAGTTCCATTTTGCTGATACCGTATTTAAACATTTTTATTTGTCTGAAGAATATATTAATCGGTTCAAAATTACTTCTTCGTAATATTAATTCACTATATACTCTTTTTTCTCGCAATTTTTGTTTAATTTTCTCATCAACGTTTGAGTATTATAGATATAATTTATTTTTCATAATTGTAACATAACTATTATATGTGATTATTCTTTATAACATAATATATTTGTTCTGTATTATATATTTTATTAATATTAAAAATAGTAGCTACTATATCAATATTAAATATTTCAAATTCTGTATGTCTGAAAAAAAGAAAAATATTTTATTTTTAAAAATATACATTTTGTGTGAAATAAATAATGATATGTTTTTATGCAAAGTTAATGCTACAATTAAATTACGTAGTAGATAATGTAATATATTTAAACATACAAAAAGAATTAAAATAGTCTCTTTTCAAAAATCAACTTTTTAAGTAACCTAAATAATAATATAAATACCTATAAAAAATATATATATTTGCAATTATATACATTATTATTATTATCATTATTATAAATTATGTAATATATATTATAGAATGCATATAATTTATTTGATTTTAATATTATATTCATAATTTATTAAAAAAGGTTTTCATTTTCCTCAAGTATAATTCTTTAGTGTTTATATTTTAATATTTGTATCATGTATATCCATTCTTATCCCTCTCCTAAATTATGAATAAAATGTTAAAATGGTACAATGAAGCATTATAAAACATGGTTATTAACTATTTGAATTCTGATCGTAAATTCGTCATAAATCTATGTGAAGGTTCAGGCCAATTCAATTGATATGACTAATAACAATCATCATTAGACGTACAACCACTTTGTTTCAGGAACTTTAAAGTTCCACGAATTAGAGTGGCATCGATGCACGATAACCGCTTACCAGCCATTAATTTTCTGTAGTATCTCAAACACGCTGCGAATCTCATTTTTTCGAAGCAACAGGTGCCCAGAGAGGCGTCAACAGGCAAACAAAGGCTCGCTAGTAGAGAAACACAACGACAGAGGGCAGTGAATGCAACGTGATTCACGCGAACGCGCAGCACGAATGCAATAGCAATATTGCACGCCTTCGACTGTCATGATCTTTTTTCCGTCTGATTGAGTCACAAACACCATGAGCCAGTGCTTTTAGACACGCTCACAAATGCTAAGTTACAATTCAGAAGAAATAATTCAATTTCATGTTTACTTACTTAGTAATTATTTACAGACTGGCTAGTGAGATTTACATCAAAGTTCGAAGAAGCGTGATTCCATTGAATATGCTGATAATCTAAACACAACAATATGGTAAACAGAGTTATTCGGCTAAACTTCTTACTAAGATATAAACAAGTATGATTTACCTAACCTTTCATGACATCGTGTTTCTTTTTTAAGGCAACCTCGTTGGAAATATGACCGCCTAAATCAATTTTATTATTATTTGATTGGAAGATATATTTCAAGTAAGTGATTTGTATAACATTAAAATATATATGATATTTTCGAAGAATGCAATAAACGTTGATATAATGGAAAGAAAATATGTACGTAATCTCTCATTAATAGAGAAAAAAAATTGTTTTCCCCTATAGATTATTGAGAATCCAATTTGTCTTTATCTTGATGATATACAGAGATAATTGGGCGTACTAGGAAAACTATTCTGAACGTCTACAGCGACGGCTTTATTTCGTCCATGTAAATTCTACTCGATTGGTAATTTATGAAGATTCTGAGGCAAACTAGTGAGATCACTGTTTCGTGTGATCCGTACAAATTATAGAAGTTTAAAAGCTATCGGATAAGTCGTCGCTTCTTCCTGTTGATTGTTTTAGAATTTTAATCTCTTGTAACCTTGGCCTATAGAGACAGATCTGATCTATGAATAGTAAGGAATTCAATGATCACATGTCTCAATAGAGACTGAAAGAGTTCTGTAGAAAGTAACAGGAAGCAAATCTGTAGATATATTTTTTAACTCAATTTTCAATATTTATTTTTAAGTAGCAATGTTCATAAATTCTTTGAAGTCTATTATATACGACATTAACATCCATAATGTTCGTGCTAATCTTTAGTTTATCATAAATCGAAATTTCTTAACACTTCATTTATTATTTCATGACTTAGTTTCTGGATAAATCAAGTAAGATGCTAACTAAAATGTTTAAATTAAAATAATCAATTATAATTTTATTGACTTATTTATGCACTTGAAAACCAAGTTTATCTTCTGGATCTATTATGAATCTCGTAATCATCGCGAATAATTTGTATTTTTCCGATAGTACCTGACACTCATAATTTTCCAAATGTCCCATAAATCACACGCTGACAAGCATGGAAAATCGCAAAAATTTCTATATATATAGAATTTACATTAATGCATGCATTCCAATAAACGAATAAATCTTTGAATAATGAAAAATTGCGAATAGGAAGCTTCAGTATTATTAATTAATCAGTTAATTATTTATATATTCCTAATAGATAATTCTTATCCTATTAATATATTTCTTATAAGTAATTCTTTGTGTCTATGTATATGTGTAATTAGATAAACTGTGGAAAATTAAATAATTGAGATAAATATATATAATAATAGATAAAATTATATATACATCATATTATATACTAAAATAAAAATATATTACAATATATTATGATATATTAATATAGAAATAAATATAACATATATTGCAAGAAATAGATAAATAATTAATCCAGAAATGAAAATATACTCACTTTTATTCCATACTAAAAATAAGGAGGGAAAATATTAAAAATATACATGTTATAAAAAACTGTTAATTACACATATGTCAAATATAATTTGACATAAAGTTAATAAATTCTCCCATTTCTGTAATATGATAAAAAACGAAAAAATGCATTAAAAATTTCATATTTGCTTAAATATTAATGTAAAAAGTCATATCCACCTTTTTCTGAAAGCACAGTCGAAAGTTCATATAAAAATTCAGGTTTACCTCCATTTATATGCCAACATTTCCATAAAAATCAAGAAAAGAAAAATCAATGCAAATCATAAATGATATTTTTATATCTATTTATCTTTCTCATTAATTTTAGCAAATGTAATACGAGGAAGCATACAACGTTATGCATTTCTGGAAATCACGTTCTTGGAACCTGAACCTGAAACAGAGTTTACTAGTTTAAATGTTCACTGACACTGATACGTAATATATACGATATGCTGATATGCAATTAGAGAGCCGACTGTTAGATTAGACGTTTTACTTACGGACGGGGATTTTTTTAAATTACTGGTAGTGTACTCACATCGAGGATGACGTTCTCCGATAAAACGATTCATTTAAAACAATTACGTTCCCGTTTGCATGAAGAGTAAGCATGTCCTACAAACATAAAAGAACCATAATTTTATTGAAAATAATTCTATATAAAAATATTGTAAGCACAAACAAACCAATTATTAAAATTATTTGTAAAAATTTAATAAAAAATTTTTGGAGATGTGATTTTCAAATAAATATTTCTGGCAATTCAGAGAACTAAAGATTTCACAAATCTTTAGGTGTACTATATTCGTAATTGAGTTGTCATCGATGAATTTAGACTACAACATAAATACATTTCAACAGCCTATTTAAAATCTTTTTATTTTAAGCTGATAGTCTCCGGTGGTTATAGCTAGTGATACTATTTAGTTATGATATATTTCGTTTCTCTACTCCTTCTTTTTCAATATTTCCAAAATTTATAAATTTTGGACAAATATAATAATAAAATAAAATTTTCATTAATGATTGCCTAGTGTGTTTAATTAGTAAAAATTATTCTTATATTTTAGAAATTCAAATTCATTAAATTTTGAAGAAATATTAAAAAATTCGTGACTTTTAATATTTTTAATATAACTTTTAATATGATTAAGTAGTTAAATATTTCTAATGACTAAGTATTTTAATGAAAATACATCGCAACAGTTATGAAATTTGAAATAATAAGGATGTATATAAAAAATAAATGTTTATTAAAAAATTGTATGAAAAAATGAATTTAGTCTATGTTTATTATAAACAAACATAAAGGACAATCACATTTTACATAATAGTGGAATGTTAGAAAAGAGACTTCACCAATGTTGAGTTTAGAATTTTCAAGGAGAAACAGAACACTATGAATACCTGAGTCATGCCCTTCATTAGATGACTTGAAACAACCAATGCGTGGATTTTCAAAGAAAAAATCTAGAAAATTTAACATATGTTAATTTATGCACTACGTGTGAAAGTGTATAATATATAGAACATAAGTAAATACCTTATTCGGAATTTCTATTTGATATCTAAGTATTATAATTTCCTATTAACTAATTACCCTTTTATTCATTTCATGCGAATTTAAATGCTCAAAAATTGAACTATGTCGCTAAAACTTTTGGTCCCAATTGCAATATCATTATATAATATTTTGGTACAAATATGCATTATAAATATAATATTTTGTAGCATTTATTTATTTATTGTAGCAGTTATTTATAGACTATATAATATTTATTTATTATTTACTATATTTCTTTATATATTAATTATGATATTTATTTAAATCATATTTATATATTTGTGTATGTACATAAATGACGTACATATAATTATTTTGATAAAGTATACCTGTATATGTATACTTATACATGTTCATGAATCATCATTCCCTCGATGTTTCTATTACATTGCGTGTACATTCTTATGTTATTCGTAAACATGTATTGCCACTGATCATCAAGAAATATTTCATACAGGTATCAAAGTGGAGGCTGTCAGGGTAGATATTATTTAAATCTGAAACATAATCATCATTCTTCTTTTTCTGCACGACGTATTCATTATCCTAATACGTCACTTGTTATTCTCGTAGATTCCGGAAATATATGAAAATGCTATCACTAGAAAGATAACCTTGCTTCTGCATGGCAAAGAAGTGACTTTTATGCATATAAATATAAATGAACAAGTAGAAAGGTATTAAATATATATAAATGGGCATACCATCCTTATATCTTGCAAAACGTGTTTCTTTTTTTCCCTTATGTAAAAATAGAGAATTTCGCTACTGTTATTGCAACACTATAATACCATTATCTATAACCAAAAACAAAAATTAATTTTTTCCACGAACATTTTTAGGTGACCAATAATAATTATGGATTTCAAGTAAAATTCAACTTACCAATGTCTTAGATTGCCTTATATAAATTTAATTAAACGTATACGTCATATTTTAATTAACTTTTGTTGTCAGCATTCAGTCGTCACTCTACAGTAATTTATTTCTTTTCCTGTAATTAAGTGCACTATATCGAATGTTAATTACTACATTTAAAAAAATTAAAATTAAAATCATACGTTAAATTATAAAATCGTAAATTAAAATATAAAAAATGTCGAGAACCAAAAAATTAATATTAAATTTCCGCTTTTAATATATCCTAATTGCCTGAGGTGTGCTTTTCACGAGTCTCTCGCAGTGAATAATCGAGAGTCGATGTTATGTCCTTGAATTCGATAGACGAACGTATATTTTTACGTATTCGTAAGCAATGAAATTTTTAACATCGGGGTTTTACTATTATCGTCTACTTTCCACATCTCAATCTGTTTCTGTATGTTTAAGAGAAACATTTACAATGTCAGTGATTTGATTACGAAAAGTTACGATCTTTTGGTATGCAGACACGGTAACAGGAGATACATTATGTATAATATAACCTAACATGACTAAAACGCTACTATTAGAAGCGGTTATTACATCAAAACACAACTTAATACTATTTTCTTGCATTGCACTTCTTTAGCAATTACTTTCAATTTTCATATTCAAATCACGTAGTAGGTATAAAATAAAGTTAATTTAAAATGAAAATATTATGGAGTAGTTTGGCCACTTTCCATTTTTAACCTTCTTTGTAGCAAATGTGAGAGATAAAAACATATATAGATAAAGTTATAAAGAAATTATAATCAACTAAATAAAAGTTACAAATATTTCAAAGTATCAAGATATATACATTCGTATCTATGAGCCTTGACTGGTCTTGCTTTCCTACGATACACGAGACACCGAATTAACCTGTCAGATTACGAAATTTCTGTCCTCCGAACTGAAATACCGATCGCGTAAAATGTCACGGATTTTGTGCCCTCTACGATTAAAAGCGGTGAGTTTAGGAATTATGTTCAATCCAACCACCCAAGTTGGTAAAGGTAACAGACGCGAGAAGGTCTTCCTTTGTTACGTTATTATGTGAAATGACATAATAGTTGTGTACCTTTGATTGCGTGACGGAAACTGTTAACGGTTTAACAAACACAGAAAATATCGGTATGGAATAGATAGGTAATTAAAATTTCTTTTTATTATTGTCACAAAATCAAAGAAAATATTATAGTTTATGCGATCGAAGAACCAATATTACAAATTATTCATATATAAAATAATCGCCTGTTAGATTCCTTTTACGTATGTCCATTTCTATTACCAGTAATTATTAATAATCATATAGATAATTAAATCATACACTAATAATACGCTTTTAATCATACTAATTATACTGCAGTAAACTATTGGAGCATAAAATTACATTACAATGCCCTAGTTAAGTTGAATGTAGTCTGACGAGATAGTTTCCAAGAGTGAGTGGGACAGAGTGACAGGAGTGAGATGTGGAGCCCAGCATAGAGGATCTGAGAGAGATAGAATGAAAACATTGCATCAAGATATAAAAGACGAATGAAAGAAGTAATCTAGAGAGTATTGGGATCTGTGTTTGACCTGCAAGGATCACGAACAAATTGAGAAGCGGTTGTGACCCAGTTTTGATTACTGTAACTATACCTTATATTTACACTATATTATGTTTATAGTTATTCAATATATTGTAAATAATTATTATTTTTACATATACGTCCATATAATTCTATAATATTTTTCATAATAATGATACTTTACAATTTATTTTCTTTTATTTTTTTATTTCGGAAACTACAATAAATATTTATTTACAATTGCCAAAAAGTAAAACAGGCTTTTTATAATAAAAAAGTAACTATTTAAAATATAAATATTATAATTTAAAAATATAATATTCCAAAGTTTCATGAAAAAAGGAAAAATAAAATCATATTTACTCCATTACTAATTTTGAAAATAAAAATTTGTTTTATGGGAAAATATTAAAAGCATAATAGCATCTGTTTAGATTCACCAACTCAGTCAACTATTTGATACAGTTTATGAAGAAACGAGTTATAAAAATATGGTATAGAGTAAAATTATAAAAGTATAGAATGTTTTGTTTACGATTGTAAAGTATTCTATTTTATATTTTTATAATTTTATGTTTATTTGTAATTTCCTAGTTAAATATGCTTTTTTTATTCTAGCTACTTGAATAAATTATAATATTTCAATTATTATCACTGCCAGGGTACTGCATACCTCGTTTCTACTACTAACTTAACCTCATTCTGCATTAAATCGATAACATAGGAAATGACACAAAATGGTTCCGAACTCTCTTGATGTAGGATAAAAAAAAACATTAGCCGATAGCACAGACGAGATATTCGTTTACAGATATCCAGACCCTAGCTGTAAAGGTAAACCCATTTTGTATTTCGACTGCAATTGTAATTATCTTACCTCGGTAATATAGCTACATCCATTTGTCGTTAAAACAGAATTCTGTTATCTTGGAAATTTTAGTAATCAGTAATTCTGAAGATGTCGCATGGAGTTCAAGATCATAATTTGACCTTCAAAATCATTAATTCTCCTTCACCTACTTTTCTCAGCACGGAATTAAATTTATTGGACGCGAAATGTGAGCAGAATAGAATATTTAGTGATTTGTCTATCACTAATCGAATGATAGGAAAATTTACTTATATACTTCTGGTTTATCTATAAAAACCTAAGTTTACTTTTCTTACATATCATTCTCATTTATATAGATGTAAGCAACTTTGGTAAAATTGTGCAATATGTTCATAATTTATCGTACTATCTGTCGCACTTATCTATTAATTCTAGGAAATGCATCAGATGAAGTATAAACCAATAACAAAACAAGTGATGAAAACAAATTATTTTAACTGGTGATTTCTAATTCAATCTTACATATTTACATATCTTTATAAATTTGTGATTAAGTGTTATACTGATTTCCAACTTTTACGTATATATTTGGGTTTGTATTTATTCATACGAACTCAATAAAAACATAATATAAATGACAATCAATATTGCACTCCTAAAGAAAATTTATGGAAAATTTGTAACTTTTGATAAATTATACATATTCACAGTTACAGTATTGTTAATGTGTCCTAACTATTGAAAAGGAATCAATGAATAAAATCAAGGTCCATGTTCTGATTAGGTTCTTCTCAATCTTTTATTTTATTTCCAGACATATTTATCTTTCTTATTAACACATGTTCAGATAAAAAACATTCAACGCAACAATCAATTTGTTATTACTTAAATATTTATTTATTCTATATTTATTTACATAAAAATTAATTTTAATATCATTGAGATTACACCAAATCGGTGTAACAATTAGCTAAAATTAAATCAATTTCTATAATTTTCTTCATCTTTGTTCATCATCGTCGTATCCTCCGTATGTTGGTTGCCATTTATGAATATGAATTTTTGGCTGATTATTACACTTTCTTGCTCCATTCGTTGAAATGTGTAATTTAATTGGTCCACGGTTTTGTTCGTCATGTGGTTTCACTTCGATGTCTAATTTTGGCATACGGGAAGGATGACCTAGAAATAAAGTTACGACTTATCGACTGATGATAACTATCTATCGACAAATTACCCTACGGTTATCAACGACCAAAGACAGTTGTTAATGAATTAATAATGAATTATTAACGCTTCGACTACAAATTCACACGTATTTGAAGCGAAAGATTGCGAGTCACGCGAAATTACCGATCACGCAGATAAGCAACACTAAATGATGTATTTTCATACCATTACTACATAATTCGTATGATATTATACTTTTAAATGTGATCATTAGACTGAGATAAACATAATCTCGCGTACATGATTAATAACGTTGCTGACGTTATTTCCAACCCGTTGGCCAATTAGCATCTATATTAACATCAACGTATAAAATTTTTGTGGGAAATAAATTATAGGTTATCGTTCGCGTTACCGTTATTATTGTGGTTAGGACGAATATTAGTCCAGACTGGTCGACTTTGACTTTGTCCTGGAAATCGGACAGTCGTTCCTTGAGATAAACCAATCGTGGCTACATTTGACGAAGCAGAAGAATGAATAGAAGCGACAGTAGACGAAGCAGTAGAACCTGCATGTATGTTTTGGATACTTCCCGACACAGAAGCCACTATACCACCGAAACCAAGCCCCGGTCTGTTGACGTTCCCTTGATTACCATATATAGGATAATGTTGACTGACAGCGCCAGAAATTCCCGTTAATCCCGCAGAGAAGGACACTGATTGGCTGTACGAATTGGCCCTGAACATAAACATGTACATTTTTATCGTAAAAGGTGTAGTTAATGGGATGGTAGAGAAAATAAAATCAAGGAAGTTAAAGAATCCTATTTTTACATTCACCTTGATACAAAGGAAATTACAGCATGGTTTTACCAGGTTTTAAATCTATTCGGAATTCAGTTTCTAAACTGAGACAAAGTACGAAGAAGATCTTAGTAAGAACAATTCAACAATTTTTCTTATTTATTTTATTTATGCAATTAGATACAAAAATTAATCTTTTTTGCCTGTAATAAAATCACTATGTATTGAAAACAATACTGCAACCGAACATTTAAAGTGAAAATAAACTAATGGCGTGAACAAAGGTTTTATTTGAAAATTTTTTTCTATGAAAGTTAATAATTTTTATGAAAATTAAAATAATAAAAATTAAAAAAAATAATGACTAAATGTTTAAGTGATAAAGTCACAGAAATCATCGCTATCATTTAACACAATTTTAATAATGCATTCAAAAGTTTAGAAAAAGTACTGTAAAATATATGTAAAGTACTTATGTATAAGAAAATGTTAAACTGATTCTTAATTAGGTTTTATGGTGCCCATGAATTATCCAAAATTGTTTTGACTGAATATAAATATTAAAATAAGGAAAATTTGTGTTTCATAAGACGAATTTCTTCCTGATGTACCATTATAATGGCAATGATTCTGTATACTGGTTATGATTTAAAAGTACATCGAGTATTCAGTAGTCATAATAAATTTAAGACAAGGTCACTGAACAATTTACTTATGAATTATTTCTTATTAAAAATGTGTTTTTTTTTTGTAAAATATGCTTCAAAAAGAATTTGAGTAGCTTTTAAAATTTGTTATTATCATATTATTCGTAGATTATTACATTTAGAATCTCACTAAAAACATAATTATCTTTGAAGTTTACCAGTAACATTTAAAATTCAAATTTAAAAATTCCTACAACTATATTATACATCTTCTTCTCAACCTAATTCTTCTAAATTTCATAATTTAATATGAGACATTAATTCAAGTAATATCAACATACAAGTAATTTTGCATTATTTTAGAACCATTACTTTTTTACAAAATATGACAGGTCTACCATTTTATGTTTCCATTATATATCTTCTACGCAAACGTCTATATTTGTTTATCATGTGCTAATAAATTCGTTAATAATGTTTCCTTTAATTGATTAAACTTTGTGATGCTTAATAGGCAGACTCCATTTCGAATGATATGCGCATAACGCACATGCGCATTAACGACAAATTAACATGTTGACTGCCATGGTGGTTATTGATATACTAATTTTTTAAATTTACATTTGTTTTATTTAGAGAACATTAATAATTTCCACCATTTTATTTTTCCTTGCCATATTGTTTGATAATTTATCATTGTATCCTAAGAATAATGGAAATTTTATCGTGGCCCCTTGAGCATACTATGCGAGAAGTATATGGCAGCTGCTTAAAGTGTTAATATCGAAGACACACTATGAACTCAATTTCAAAAATTGGTGGGGACAGAAGCAGACACCAAAGGGGACAAAAATCTGATTTATGAAAATAAAACTATAATAATCGAATATTTATCAATAATTCACGTACTATCCGCTTATAAAGTTAATAATAAAGAAACGGAATCGAAAAATAAAATTCTCTTTTGCCATCTGTAGGTAACCAATTAGATTCGTCAATAATAACTTCTATATTAATTTATTTATTATCGTATGTAGTACTTCAACGCGAATCAATCGCAGTATAACACAGCAAACAGACGTTTATCGTTAGAATAAATATTCGTGATATATCCGTGATCATGGAAACTTACCCACTCGCCTGAGACAATGGACGACCGAAGTTGCTGCTCTCGAAGTAGCTGGCGCCCTCCGGACTTACTTGGAAGCTCAAAGAGTGTGCATTGTTTCCTGTATTAACGTTAATATTCGTCGTGATGGGAATAGACAAGGATCGTCCGTTCTTCGCATCAGGCGTCTTCATGACTTGCTCTGGTATGAGTTCAGGTGGTGTGTTCCATCGTCGTTCGTCTTCCTCGGTGAGAAGCACGCGATCGTCTACGGAATGGGACACGTTTAACGTAGAAAACTTTTCTTAACCTCACTTTCACCGTGTCGTTAAAAAGAACGTGCACACCAAATGGACAGGTAACAAGTGAGAACTAAATCACAATTTCTAAATCGATTATTGATACGAATCTTCGTAGGAATACGTTTGAATAGGTTAAAAATTAATAAAATTGCATCTCGAAAAATTCGTTAAGTTTCGTTTGAGAAATATGAATACTATAAAATAGAATTATACAATATAAACAACGTAAGCAATGATTAATTATTTTCACGAATTTTCTTTCAGTTATTCAGGAGGTGTAATTAGTATGATATGGCGTCAATACTCGTGGAATGGGAAAGTCATGGACTGGTTATTATTCTCTTCGTAATTCAGTGTGACGGATCGAGTATGAATGGAAGGCTGAGGACAAGAATGCACAGTGTAATACATATTTTTAGCCCGAGAAAATTATTTTTACCTGCCCACGCCACTAGCGACATAAAACACAACAGTACCGCACAAAGGATGTTCCTGGCCATCTCTAAAAGTGTTCTGACTTGCTTACGACCGTTCTCCGCCCTTTTTCAATAAGTATGAACGACCTTAGAGTCCTTATTGATATTCATCGTGTGTATACCCACGTAATACTCTTCGACGAATGGAGTTACAATCACGCGGTGACTCGTACGCACAAAAAGAAATGGGATTATCCAGGAACAATCAATTAGGTAAAGTGTAAGTTGTGCATAAAAGTATGTCACTTTTAATTGACGCGTTACGATAAATTATTAATGACCTTACATTAGAATTATTTAAAAATAATAATTGTTTCATTTTGAGATATTTTTAAATATATTAGATATATAATATATGTAATCTCTCTATCTTGGGGTACCTCAGTTTTATTTTCATTTTTACTTTTCAATTTAATTCGTAATATTAACTCTTCGCATTCGAGAGGTGACCTTCAATCACTATTTAATAAAATTTTGGAGACTAATGTTAACTAATGTATTAAATTTAAGTAGTTAATTATTATTAAGTAGATTTTCTCGAGAAGGAAGATCAAAATTAAAAAAGTTTTGCTCTATATTTTTCATTTGTTTTTGCATGTAGAATCATTATGTTCCCTATTGTATCACCAGTTACATGACACCCTGTAGATTGTAAATTTTGATTGTCTGTTACAATGCTTAGCTAACATAGCTTTGAAAAGCCACGTTCTTAATGATATTCCCTATCTTTGTTCGATTTGCATAACTACTGCGTAGTTATTTAATATTGATTGTAGATTCTAGATTTCGACTGTCAATTGTGATATTTAGTTGACATAGTTTTGAGCAGCCTGTTTTTTAATAGTTTTGCCAATTTTTCTTACATTTTGAAGTACCGTGTGCAAAATAATATAGCGGAAGTGCAAATCGTACAAAGATACTGCGCAGTTACATAATATCGATTGTAAATTCCAGATTTCGACTGCCAATTGTGATATTTAGTTAAAGTAGGTTTGAAAAGCCGCGCTTTTGACGATATTCCCTATTTTTATTCGATATTAAAGTGCCTTATGCGAGATAAAATGGCGGCAGTGCAAATCGACAAAGATTCCGTGTAATTACCTAATATCGATTGCACATTCTAGATTTTGACTGCCAATTGCGATATGCAGTTGACATAGCTTTGAATAGTCTGTTTTTCGATAATTCTGTCAATTTCTCTTCCATTCTAAAGCACCATATATTCGAAATATAATGGCGGGGGTGCAAATCGTATAAAGATACTGCGTAGTTACCTAATATCGATTGTAGATTCCAGATTTCGACTGTCGATTGAGATATTTAGTTAACATAGCTTTGGCAAGCGCAATTTGGAATGATGTTTCCCGCTTTTATTCGAATTTTAAGTGGCATGTATGAAACAAAGCGTTGTTTGCCCAAATCTAGATGAATTTATTGAAAATTCTTAATTGTCAAAACTTCAGTTTAAATGTACTAATTACGACGTCTCTGGCTTGTAAGAAAGACTGATATTTTATTTATCGTATTCTTATCATTATACTGCTATGTAAGTACATAAGACCAGTCAGTCCATGTCAAACGATTACAAACTGTATACGTGCCATAAGCTATATTATAACCGAGATATATATATGTTTGTATGAAAATAAAGGTGTTTAATATAACATACATTAATACAAAGGAGTTCCATTTTCCAATCATACTCTGCAACCAATATTAATAAAATTCATTTTGGCGAGTCTCGACAAATAAATCTCTGACAAACGATGTCAATTTCGACGTGTCATTACGTGGAAGTGGGGCTACACAATTGAGACTCATGCCTAAAAACATTAGTGAAATATAGTACAAAATATGATGCAAAACAGACAAGAAGGTATCATGTAAAATGAATTAGGAAATGACGTACAGAATATATTATAATATGTAATATGTGCGAAGGCAAGTTTCATTTGGAATGAAATCAGGGGAATTAAAATGGAGACTCGTTTTTTTCAAATTACCGCGTTAATCAAAGTATTTTTCGAATTTTTATACTAGTATTAAAACTCTTTCGAATCTCTGGTTTCACGAAACGAACGAGAGGGGGAATGAGAAAGTACTGCGAAAAGTTTTAGTTCAAATGAGACATAGTACGCTAGTACAAAAAATCACGTATAAGAAATTTAAGGGAAATTAACTTAGGCTAAATTGAACTTAAAACACACGCATCTCACGATGTTCAACATTGTCCTGCCATGAACGGCAATATTTAAGGATATACAGCGATGTCCAAGGATATCCAGAAGTGTCCAAGGATGTTCAGTGACGTTTAAGGATACCCAGCGATGTCTAAGAATATTCAGGGATGTCCAGGAATATTTAGCAGTGTCCATGGATGTCCAACAGTATCCAAAAATATCCAGCAGTGTCCAAGGACATCCAGCTGTGTCTAATCATATCCAACGATATCTAAAGATATCTAGCAGTGTCCAAGGATATCCAGCAGTGTCCAAGGATATCCAACAGTGTCCAAGGATATCCAGCAGTGTCCAAAGATATCAAGCAGTGTCCAAGGATATCTAATTGTGTCCAAACGAATATCTGGATATCCAATATCCAGCGATGTCCACGGATATCCAGTGACGTCTAAGGATCGAGTAAAATCGAGTAAAAGAATCGCGTGTAAAATCGTTCAAACGTATACGATTTAATAGAAGTACGGTAATTATTTAATAATTTTAAAAACATTTAATGTTCACTAATACCAATGAAATAAAAAAAAATAAAACGTAAAATATGTATTCAAGTATTAAAGAAATAATCAGAAATAAAAATAGAATGAAGTAATTAAAGAAATTATTTCAAGTTAAACATAAATAAATTAAATAAATTATGAAAAGTGAAAAAGAAAAAATTGAACTATGTAAATTATCAAACGTGAATAATAAATAAATTAATTAATAAATTATTAAATGTTAAGCATAAATAAATTAAATAAATTGTTAAAAGTGAAAAATAATATTAAACATAAATAAATAAAATATATAAATTATTGAAAGTGAATAATAAATAAATTAATAAATTATTAAAAGCGAAAAATAAAAAATTAAATTAAATGAATTATTAAAAGTGAAAAGTAAATAATTAAATTAAAGAAATAATCATAAGTGAAAAATAGATAAATAAGTTAATTTAAGCGGTTGAAATTTCGATGTGAACGTTATGACGACCGAGGAGCAACTGACGTGACCTGTGGCCGTCTAGTGCTTATATAAACCGAGGTTACCCTTACCGAGGTCAAACGAACATTCTTGAGCTCAACCGATTTTCCAAAGATTCGCAAACTCTTTATAACAGTTATTACATAGTTTATTGCAAATATATGCTTCGTATAATTTGCAATAACAATATGTGCAGTAATTTACATAAGTGCAATCATTTTTTCATATAAGAAAGGCCATTTACTTTCTCATAACAATAATTTTTAACATATAAATCTTTAAAACAACTTTTCAAAGTTAGAAAAAGCGAATAATGGCTGAAAGTGATATTACCCAAAGGGATTCTATATCCCACATCCATGACCCATCCTAAAATAACCTAAAATTCACATTTTTAACGAATTCTACGAATATGTAAACTTATATATATATTATACATCCAATAATATTTTCGTATATTTTTCATTGTATATTTATAGAATTTTGTATTATTTTATATTATTTTGTAATATAGAATCATATATTAAACTTTGTAACTATCTATATGTATGTATATACATTATATCTTTATTATTAATGTTGTAGTTAACTTTATTAATTTATAATGATTTTTATGATAGAGATTAAACCCTTTTTAATTTATTATTTCCTTAATAGAAACTTATTTTGTGGTAGTGGTTACATAGATTTTTAAGTACATATGTGTTGGGATGAGTGGAACAAGTATGCATGGGATTCCAATATGTAATGAATTCAGGTTGTTATGATAAATGAGTATGCGTGTAATGATTGAGGTGTGTGTGTGAATTGTGTATGCGAATGTAATGTATGAAGAAAGAAGAAAAAAAGAGAGTGATTTGGGATACGTTAGTTGCAATTGAGTTATAATAGTGAGAAGTCCTGTGATAGAGTAATTGTGAGAAATTAATTATATTTAAACGTTATATTTGTATTTCATAATTTTTCTAATTAAATAAAGAATTGTTCTTGTTGTTATTAAAATTTCATCCACCACTAACACATTTGTATTTACTTTATGGTATTAATAAATATAAGAAACATCATTTGATATTCTACATTGATACTTCAGTATATGGCTGTTTCAAAGACGCAGCATTTTCCCGCGACAAAAATCCATAGCTTTGTAGCCACCAACGTTCGCACTTTCACCGCTAGATGGACAACGGTGGTTCGAAGTTTCTCGCAAGTCCTCGGTCAATTCTCGACCACCCATAAATACAAGTTCCTACGCAAGTTAACCATCCCCCGTCCACAGCAGGACCTGCTAGAAATTCTTACTAACGAGTCAGTAGTAGGTCTAGGACGGATCTCATCCTTTTCCTTTTAATGTCCTTCACCAGTCAAACATTCAATATCTCCTCAAAACGTGTTCCGTGCAGTAATTTATAATATTTGATATATCTCACTAATTGATAGTTTTAATTGCTGCAACTGACGAAATATATATTTAAGAACAATAATGCAACGCTATCAGGTATTACTTTGTAGCATTGCAATTGTAGGTTATCTATGCAACATTGTGCTGTTGTTGCGTCCTGCTCACTGACAATTTTCACGGTGGTGGGAGTTTCGGTGTGGACGAAAGGAAGGGGGGGGCGGGGTATTGACTGACGCGCAGTAGAGAAAAATATTCAGTAAAACTTTTTGATAGAATCTGTAGCGTCCTACCTTATCGAATCCCTTCGATGCCCTAGAACGCTTATCACGCGCTAAATTAATATTGCGTGACTAGTCGTAATAATAAGGATCCAGTGTGTGTGGTCAAAAGAGAGTGTGTATTTATAGAAAAGTATAGAATAGTTATAATGGAGACGTTGAACGGAGTACCGTTTCGAACACGCGTTTATACGTGTAAGTAAAATGTTTCAAGGATCGGTGTCAAAGACGAACTGATTTCTCGAATTTGATCTATGTCGTGTCTCGTCGTGACTTGTCCGGTGTTTTCTCCAGTTTAGTTCCGATTGGGCAAA